TAGGCTCCTATCTTGAAGTGCTTGAAACATATCAACTGTTACTTGCTATTTTTATATTTTTGAAGGTGATGAAGTTTTCAATCAGTTGAAATGAAGTAGCCTTTTAAGAAAAACAGCTTCTAAAAAAATTAAAATTTCTTGCCTCTTTTTTTTAATTTAACTTCGCTTTGTTTTTAATCTAGCAATTTAACTCTTTCGAAATCGTTAGCCAAAATAGCTTCTGAATTTATAAATATTTATCTTCTAAGTGATCAAGTAAAAATGTGTCAACTTTTTTTTCTATGACTGTTCCAAAGAAGCATTCTGGGCTCACAGTAACTAGTTTTTCCATATACAGTTTGCATAAATTACACTGGAGAACAATTTTGTTTTCTACTACATGAAATATTTTAACTATTCTTAGATATTTTCGTATCACCGATTATAATTTTGCAATCGGTTTATCTCTCCAACCTACATATTTTTTTTAAAAAATTACATCCTTAGTTTAATTTTTTTTTAAATGTGCAAGTTTAAAACGTTAAATATAACAAGAGTTTAAACAAATATTACGACCAACTTCTAGCGAAGTTAAGACGCATCATTAAGATTAAAACTGCATAAAAACCCATGCCCAAAAGTACCGTCATAAGCCGGTAAAGACTCTTCCCTATTATGAACTGTTTCTTCGTGCGTTTCTGAACAGGTCATAACAGAGGATCGCTCCCAGCCGCGTACGACGACTTACCGAGCTTGATTTCATATGCAGTTTTAATACTGATCGTGTGCCCTGACTCTCCTAAAGGTTTTTGTAATGTTTACGTAACCCCCTCATTTATACACCGAAAAGCCATTACATTATGATCACCCTCCATCTATAACAATGGGCTCACCCAGGTTTTCATGGTTTCTCGCCCAGGAACAATGTTTTCATGGAGCACATTAGGACCCATAATCCTTATAGAACAATCCCTGACGTCTGTAAGCTACTCGAACATAGTTGCAGACCAGGTTCACCCTTTCATGGCAACAGTTTTTCCTGCGGGGAATGGTGTTTACCAACAGGATAATGCACCATGTCATAAGGGTCGAATCGTCATATATTGGTTCGAGGAACATTTCAGTGACTTTCAAGTCAAGTCTTAGCCCCCAAATTCACCTGACCTTAATCCAATAGCGCATTTGTGGTCCTACTTGGAAAACCAAATTCGTGCTGCCACGCTACCCCCTCGCAATGTGAGGGAATTGCAGAACCAGTTGGAGAGCGCTTGGTACCAGATACCTCAGACTACCTATCAGCACCTTGTGGAATCAATGCCACGGCGGGTGCTAGCAGTTTTGAGGGTTAAAGGTGATCCTACACGTTATTAGTAGGGTGGTCATAATGTAATGGTTCTTCGGTGTACATAACGTTTTTAAATTTGGACTTCTGAAAAAAAATAGACTGAAAATGTCATTTTAAAAATCTCCAAGCGGCAACTAATAAAGATCAGGTATTTGCATAAAGGCAAGAAAAAAATTTTTCCCCCGTGTTATTTTCAAGCTTTCTATATCCTTCATAATTAATCAACTGATGAACATATCTAGATTTAGGTTCAAACTATAATCACTGTTTTTTTTTCCAAGTTCAATTCAAATGCTCTCTTATGTATTGTAAAGAAGAAAATTGATAAATTTATTTAATAATTAGTTATTCAATTTGCATTCAGCTAATTTTTAAGTAAACATAATCTTGATAATACTTTTTTTTAAAAAAACTTGCTTAATTTTAGATTTTGATAGTCTTTCCAAAGTTTGAATTGGGTTTCAATATTTAGACCGCTGAAAACCTTATTTCTCAGAATTACTTCTTTTAGGAGATAAATGATTTCTACTTTTTTCATTCTTTAAAGTGGCATGAAAAAAGGTGAAAAATTCCGAATCAAATTGCAGTAAAATATACCAGCACAGATTTGTATAGTAAAAATTATTGCGAAATCGCTTAATTACTCTAATTAAATAAATATTACTGTAAAAATTACGGTACAATATATTACGATAAAAATTAATTTTAAAGTAAAATGGATTTTGCGATGATGTAGAATTTACGGGGAAATGGATTTTACGAATTATGCACCCAAAGCACTAATACCGTAATTTGATCTGGAATTCTTTTTATAGAGTACTAAAAGTCGATATTTATTAGATTAACCAGTGATTATTAAACTGTTGTGATTGCCAAACTGCTGATCGATCTGACAACAATTGTTTTCATTGAGCATTTAAAATTATACTTACAGAAATTACTTTTAAACACTCTTATCACATAGGCGTCTTATCATATATGTGTCTTATCATAATTAATGTGTTTTATGTTACTGGGTAATTAATGAATAAATTGCACACAAAAAAATTTTTGGTGAAATTAACGTAATGCATGGTAATGACGTTTTTAGAAAAAGAAAATATAATTATTTTTAATAAAACCAAAATATATGGTGTTTAAACTATTCATTTGGTAGATTTTTCCGCTCAAATGCTGAACGTTTACTGGAAATTCTGAGTTTTAAAATTATAGTTTGTATTACCACACATTTAGTAAAAAATACAAAACTGAAAAGTAAATTTACCTAAATAAAAAGTTTTCATACCATGCTCTAAAGTTTCATGATAAAACTACCATATTTTACCCAATTTGCGAAATTTTATCATGCATTATAAAGCTTTATTTTAATGTTAACTTAACCAAAATCATTGCTTTCTTAAATCATCTTTGGTAAAACTTAACGAGCCTTTGATGTTTCCATAACCAAAAGCATGTTAAACTTTACCCTAACCTGGTAGCTTTAACTATACTTTTTTTCTCACTGTATTATTAATCAAGAAACTACATATTTGATTATAGAGTATATATTTTAAAAACAATTTATGTAATATTTTATTGTTAATGCTAAAGCCTTCAATTATTTTCCTCGCGTAAGATATTTAATTAAAAATGCGTCTGAACTTTTTTTTTTCAAAAGACTTATTTTTAATTTTCATAAAATGAGGTAAAAAATAAATCTGGGACTAACTTTCAAATATTTTTTTAATCCTATAAGAGATAATTAAAATTAAATGAGCAAAAAATTCTTCACTTTGCATTATTGAAATAATAATATCGATTTTCATTATTGAATAACGCACAAAAGTTTAAGAAAAAAACTTCATTTATTAAAATTTTAATTTTAAGATAGCAAAAATGTCATTTTTTGAAACCATATTTCATGGCTAGTTACATCATTAAAATAGAAAGCTATACATGTCTGTATTACTGTATATTTGAACGTACGAAATTATTTAATAAATAAAGCCCCACTGGATTCCAGGTATCACAAAAACTTACTGTAAACAAAATGTTTGAAACAAAAGCAAAAAAAGGCCTCGTTAATTTTTTTATTAGTTTTCTTTTGGAATTCTTCCTCCATCGTCTGAAAAAATATTAATATGCGCTTAGGAAACCATATTTAATTAACTTTAGAAGTTTACTTTTTTTTAGATTATATTCCTTCATTTTTATGTGTGTAAAAAAAAGGAGAAAAAATAATAATCTTTCCTCAAACTTTCTTCTCACACAAGTTATTTGAAATCTTAGCAAATAATGTAATGATGACAGCATAAAAAGTATTTGCAAAAGAATTCTGAAGGGTAAAAAGATTTTATGTGCTAATATTTTTATCCGATTAGCAAAAATAATTATATCAGTCAACGAATATTTTTATTTAGTAAGGAATAAATTTATTTTTAAAAATTAGGTTGTTTATTTGAGAAATCAAAAATGAATAAAAAACCGTGATAAATAAAAATAACATTATTTTCTTTCGTTGTGATTTTTAAAAAATTTGTTGAAAATATTGATTTTTTTCTGTATGATTTTGAAGCAAATAGTTAAAAACATCAAAATTTAAACCTTTTCAGAATTTCTTTAATAAATATATTTTGTGATATTCCATTAAGTACGAGTATTTTTGAAGTGAATTCGTAATTATCTTATAATTATCCACCCTTGCTATAAATTATCCATTTTTTTAAGTCTTTATATATTTTCATTATCTGATTAATAAACTTAGCAGAAGACCCTTTTAAGTGACGTTGTAGAAAAAATTTAAAATTCCTGTAAAATAATTTTTATTTTAGTGTTATTAACTACATAATATTGATTCAAGCAGACAATTAAGTAAAGATATTATAGACAGAAAGATACTAAATGACAATTTGTAATAGTTTTTTGATCATAAAAAGGCGAATTTTAAAGCAAAATCCTTGGAAAGTCTGTCTTAGGAAAAATATTAAAGCGAAAATGGGGCAAACATTTCAAATAAGAGTTTTGGAGTTTTGATTTCGCTTATTGAAATGTTATGGACAAAACATAAATGCAAGGCAAAGTTTTTAGTTCGCATTGCTAACGTAAAATCATTAAAATTAATTTTCTCCAAAATCACTAGAATGTTATTTTGAACCTTCAAAATAACATGACCAGAACCTATTTCAATAGGAAATCTCTTCATATTGTGGATAATACTACTCTATATATATATCATCAATTATTTTCTCTATATTTTCTTTACTTCCAAGTTTTTTACTTCATTTTTCTTATTTATTTAAAGGAATGAGCATAATGTTATAGACGAAACAGATTTTTAAAGAACTAATTTTATACTGGTGTATAGCTTTAAATTACCTTTGAATTATTACGTAGATAAGTGAAATCAATAACATAAAAATTAAATAAGACACTAATTCATCATGAATTGATGCTTTATTAACCCTCATAAATAAAGTGCAGAATCAAATAACATTTTTATCTTCTCCAATAATATTAAGTCCTAAAAAATATTATGATTCAGTTTAACTGATTTGAATATTGAAAATGATGAATGCACCAGAATTTCATTACCCCTGACTGTTTTTTTAAATATTAAAATTACGTTGTAAAATCTTTTTATTAAATATTTAAAATAAATGCAGAGATATTGAAAATTATTTTGTTTTTCTGTTACCAGAGGCTCCAGCTCTCCAGAAACCACTTATGATTCCATCCGATCTAAGACTTGGAGACAGAGCCGATATCATTTGCACCCTCAGGAGAGGAGATCTTCCAGTCACTTTCAAATGGTACTTCAATGGCAGGGAGATTAGAGGAGAGGAACTGGGAAAAGTCACCTCTTACGATGTCAGATCCTCGGTGTATCTAATAGACAAACTAAAAGCTGGAAATGTTGGCAACTACACATGCATGGTATCCAATGTAGCTGGCTCTGATACAGCATCTGGGCAACTTCTTGTTGAAGGTAGGCAAGACTTGATGTCTTTTTTTATTATAATTTCCCTTACAAAGATAAAAATTAATAATAAGTTATTCCTTTTTCGTAGTTCATCAAGTATTAAACTTCTTTCTAAGCTGAAACGCAGATGATGTTCTATGCTTATTATGCTATAGCTTATTTCGGAAAGGAAATAGTATTTTTGTATATTATTCACTCACTGTAGCACTAAATTTCCTATATATAAATATAGTTTTCGAAAAGCAGTTTCAAAATTTCACCGATTTGGGTGGATAATCGGTTATCTCAGAGCTCTACAATAAACGTAGTTAAGTAAACACTTGAACGAGAAACACTTGGCGTAGTTTCGCTCGAATCTGGCTTTCTTTTGTCAAGAGAAATAAAAAAAAAGGCCACAATTTACACTGCTTTGCACAACAATTGCTTTACACCTGGATTGTGTTGCATGTGCTTTTTGGACCACACAACGGAGAAATAACTTAAATATTTTTTTAAATTATTCAACGTTTTAAAAATCGCCAATTTGGCGAGATTTTTCTATTTAGATGAAAATTATTAAAACAACTGAATAATTCTTAATTTTTTTCAAAGTTTTATAACCTAGATAATGCAGCGTTGAAATAACTTTCCAATTATTAAAAATTAGATCTCAAACGCTTTTCATGTATTATTTCTAATTTTAAATTTATCTGAAGAATTTCGATGAACTTAAAAATTTTTGTACAAAAAAAGAATATAAATCGCCCTATTAAATATTTTTAACAATAAAATAATACATTACTCATTTTTAATTTAGTAAAACATTTTTTTAAGTTTGAAGAACACATAAAAAATGTCATTATTTGATTTTTTCCCTCTACTATGTTACAAACTACTATAAGCCAAATTGTTACTTAAATCATAACCTTTCAAACTTAGTTCCGCGAAAGAAATGTTTCTTTATCCTTTCTCTTGAAATAGGCCCGAAATGTCTGAGAAACTCTCTATAGCTTGCAGGTGCTAGATCGGGGTTTTTTTACCATTAGTTTTGGAAAGAAAAAAGAACTTTTTTCTTCTTACTTTACCAAGCATTTTAAATTCTTCACGTAATTTTTTAGTTGTAGATTTATGCTTTCAGCGCTTACTTCTTTTAAGAATTATAGGACTTTTATGGATTTATTTTAAAGATTTACAATCGATTACCTTTTTTCTTACTTCTTTTTTTCTACAACAATTTAGATGATTTATATCCAGAAATTTTATAATACTCAACTCTGGAATAGTCTTCTATCATTTGTCAAAATTAATTCCCATTTTGTAGTAGCGGAACACTTAACTTAAATAACTCGAAGCTGAAGTAATGTTGAAATTACCAATTTTATTTGCATCCTCTTTCATTCTGCATACATAAGTTTAGATTTAATTCATCGTTTTTTTAGTTTTAGTTTTAATAAAAGGAACATTTTGAAATATTATCTATTCTGTAAAATTATATTATTATTATTATTACTACATAAAGATTAAATAAAAAATTAAAAGCTATTATCATTCAAATAAATCTCCAGTACGAGCAGTGTTTTTAATTCGCAATGAATTCAAATTATTGTTGGTCTGCAAGTGACGTCACAAGTGGGTAAATCGTGGTCTTTGCTTAAACCGTGATTCAGCTGCCAATAAGGTTTGACATAGGTATGACGTCGCTTGTCAGTATCCAATAAAATCAGATCCGATAACTGGGTCAGCGAGATAATAAACCAAGCTTTATTGCGGTAACGTTATTTTCTCATGCACAATGATATGATTTCAGTGGCCTTTTTCTTCTCCAGTTGCAGATTATCCGGGTTTCAAAAAAAGAGTCTCTGTTTCGTTGTTTCATCAAATAGGCAACAATTTTGTATCTTGAACTGTCCATAATTGAAGGGATGAACTATTTTTGAATAATTTAATAATCGAAAAATCTTCAAGCATATGATTTTTAACAATGATTAGTGACGCCGCATTTTGTTAACTCGGTATTAAATGAAGTCAAAATAAAATATGTTCGATAACATCACATGATGTGAAATTATGCCTTGTAGATAGCCATATAGAAAGTGGATTAAAATTCATGTAAAAACTCAATGTGGTGCTATTTATACAATAAAATATTGCAAACTAAAAAATAAAATATTAAAGAATTTAGGAACTGATATTTTAGACGTTATTAAAAATGGAGCAGTACACTGTAGAATGTACCTATACACTGCTACAAGTTAAGAAAAAACTCTTTTCCCTGAGGAAAAAGTTGGTTGGCATCTAAGTGCAAGCTTAATGGATGCCAAGCTCCAAGCAGGAACGAATATCAGCATCACCAACTCTTGAAACCACGGAACCTTTGGCACGGAATTCTTTTTGCTTGTTAAAAATAGCAAGAATTAAATTTCTGTCCAATGAGTTTAACTTTTAAGAGTCCTTATATTGTTCTGAAAGCATCATTATATAACTTGGTAGCTAAAGAAAAAATAAAACTAGATGTTTCACTATACCAGAGACTATTCCTTGTTCTTGGTGTAGTAGGACACATAGCGGAACAATATTTTAGTGTAAAGTAGTTGTACTATTGTGTTGATATATACAAAAAAATTTAACGGTGTATACGAAAGTTCGATTTGGTGTTAACTTGAAATAAAATATTCTTTCGCGCAATTTTTTGGGTTGTTCAACATCATGGGTTATTCATGGATTGTTCAAATACGTAGAGATATTACATCAAAATTTTCCCAGTGCACATGAAAGAACCATTCATTTTCCTTGTTGAGTAATATTTTAAGAATTGCTGAATAGTTCTCTGATCGAGTATTTTTCCGTTTAGGTGATAAGAATTGAACCCAGATCTTGCCGTTTTAAACCGTAAGAGCTTTTTTTAAACTTTTTAATGTCTGATGTTTTAAGGCAATAATCCCATAATCAACTCCTTAGAGGAGATTATTTAGCACTGTTTAATGAAATTCAGCGATATTTATGAAAATCAATCCTTAAAAATTTCAACAAAAGAGTGTGTAAGTTCCAAAAAAACTAATAATCGCATGTATCTGATATATGCTATAATTTAACTAATTGTTACTGTACACTTTATGAATTATCACACGAAAAATAGACTCAGCATTAAAGATAAAGAAATTTTAAAGATTAATATTTTTGAATAGTCGTATTTTTTTTCTTATGTCCATTAAATTGCAGTGAATGTAAGTATTGGTTTATTCTCTTAGTTTATTATTTTTATTTTTATATTCATTTATTCTTTAGTACATGCATATTTTATATGATTGAGTTTTAAAGTAATTTCTTATTGTGCAAAAGTATCGATAAATTTTATTTTTTATTTATTTCTATCTATCTTTATTTTGAGAGATCTATCTCCGAAATCCAGAAAATTCTAGTACTGTATGCACGCATGCGCAAAATCACACCTTTTTCTTTCGCCAACACATCAAAGACAAACTTTCAAAGCAGGGTATCACAATATTTTCTAAACTCTTCGTTTCCTCTTCTTAAAAATGCCCAAATGTATCCCGATATTTTAGTAAAATGTTGTCTTTTTTATTTTAAGCCATTACGAAGTCTGTAGAAGCTTTTAGTTATCAAAATCAGTTTGTCTCTATATTTCTCAAGTACTCTGCGTTTTGCTTACATATTTAACCCTTTACTTACTGCGCTTAGTATGATGAAGCCCGGCATTCTAGTATACCTACCGTAAGCAAAAGGCTAAGAGACAGAATGTCTGAAATATTAATATTTATGCCTCTGCTTCTAAGTTTTGATAAATGGATCGACTTAAACATAACAGAAAACCTAAAGTATTACAAGCAAGGACCTAACGTATTAAGAGTCAAGGAACTTCCAACATTTTGAACGAGATGCTTTGCTCTGAAATGCAACGAAATGTTACCCAAAATGATAAAATATCATTATTGTTAGAAATGCTGGAATGGATTTGTTATAATGCTAGAACGGAAATTTGGAGAACTTAATGTTCCTACTTAAATCAGTAACTATCAATTTAGTAACATCGTGGAATGCTTTTTAGTTACTGAGTTTTTTCACCAATCACTACTCTTACTTTCTTTATTTATCAATGTTTTTACTAGGGTGATGTAACGAAGTATTTGTATTCAATTCACAGCTCTTCAAAAAGAAGAGAGTCTAATTACCCTAGTTTAATTATAATTATCTTCCACTTAGAGATCATAACATTGAATAAGCATCGCCTCTTCCAATTCATTTAAGTAAAGGGATGAAGTACCATAGTTTAAATAAGCTGATTTCTCTATTTATAAGTATTTTAGGAGGCTCTAACTCTACTTGCTTTGCTCACCGACCCCCTGATTGCATCTCATTCATTAGTTATTTTTCTCCTTATTTTCCATATCAATCCAAGCACGGGCTTATAGGAAAAATATCTCGTGAAAGAAAAACTATTAAAAAAAATTGATAAATAATTATTATTTAAACCAAAAAAATAAGAAAAAAATTTGTGTTAACAGTACTAAAAATGGCAGAAACTTTCGAGCAAATAAGAATTTATAAAATAAAAAGAAACTCGGTAGAAAGTCATAAATAAGAATGACCATTTCAGCTCATCAAATTTCGACTTGCCTGGTGAATGGCCCTCATAGTGCGTTTTACAACAAGTTTGAACATTGTTTTTATAAAAAAAAAATAACAAATTATCAAACGTTAATGTTCGATTTACTATACACTTTTCCACATTATTTCAACCTGCATTATTTCAATCTGCATTTTTTCTAAGTTTTATTGTGCTTTCGCAGCAAAAAAAAAATTAACGCAAAGTTGAAAGTATAAAACAGCAACGACAGATCTATCGACTTATTAATTTGGAAAGATATTCCAAGCTCATGACTATAACGCTCCATGCGGGCAATTCTGGTTTTTAAGTAATCAAACATCAAACTCTATTAACAAGCAATCAAGATAATTATATGGACATTAAATTTATGCTTTTCATTAAAAAAAACTTGGTGCACAGCGAAAAAAATATATAAATAAAAACATAAATCATCACATCATTTCTTACTCAAATCAACCTTACTTATTGTTGTTTTATCGTCTGCCATTAAGGCAGAGGGGGTGCGATTGTTCTTGTTTCCAATACCGCCATCTATGGCCAAGAATTCGACTTCTGCCACTCAAATACGTCACACCCGTTTATAGGGCGGATCCATTCATGCATCTATTCATTCATCCATAGATCGTAATTTTAACCTGAACCAGAGAACCATCAATTTCCAATTCAGTACCTCTATAGTTATTGATTTATTATGGCAACATGGAGTACTTTGTGACCCGACAGGTCCATCCGTCATCATTTAACACGGGAAGTCTTCGGCCGGCTGAATTCGAAATCACGTTCTCTCAAACGTGAGTTCAGCACCCTGCCAACCAGGCTATCCCAGCTTATCAACCTTACTGATAGGGTTTCATAAATTTTTCTTGAAAAAAAATTTATACGCATCCTAGTGAAATGCTTTATATTTTCAGATTGTAAACCCTAAATCAATTATCCCGTTCGAAATGCACCACTATAACGCTCTTCAATATCGGCTGTACAAACAATCAAGAACCATAAAGTTAAAATTCTATGAACAATTAGTTCGAAAGTCTTGTCAGAAAATAAACTTAATGTATTGTTAAAAAAATAACAAACAAATCATCGTAGCATTTTTAGCTCAAAACTAGCTTACTGCATAGAGTCTTATAAATTTCCTTTGAAAAATAAAAAGTACTGTACGCATCCTTATTTTCAGGTTGCAACACTTAAATTCATTATTCCGTTCAAAATGCACCATTGTAACGCTCTACACGTGCGATTTCGGCTGTAAAAACAATCAAGAACCATAAAGTTAAAATTCTGTGAACAATTAGTTCAAAATTCATGTCATAAAATAAACTTTAATGAACCGTAAGGAAAAATAAAATAAATAAATAAATCATCGCAGCATTTCTAGCTCAACTGCATGGCGTCTTATAAATTTCCTTTGAAAAATAAAAAGTACTGTGCGCATCCTAGTGAAATGCTCCTTATTTTCAGGTTGCAACACTTAAATTCATTATTCCGTTCAAAATGCACCATTGTAACGCTCTACACGAGCGATTTTGGCAGTAAAAACAATCAAGAACCATAAAGTTAAAATTCTATGAACAATTAGTTCAAAAGTCTTGTTATAAAATAAACTTTAATGAACCGTAAAGAAAAATAAATATAAGTAAAATCATCATATCACCTAGCTTAGAACAAGTTCACTGATAGCGTCTTATAAATTTTCTCTGAAAAAATGAAAATTTCGATAAGGATCCCGTTGAAGTGCCTCTCATTTTCAGGTTGTAACCCTCAAATCCATTACGGAAAAGATGGCGTTTTCAACTCTGGAAGAAATCTCTCTTGGGCCCTTTACCCACCCTACAAATTATTTGGATCCCATTCATTACTTCAAATCGCTTTACCTTGGGCTTCAAAGTTTCTGGAAGCTCTTAGAAGCTTTTATAGCATTAAGGTAACTTTGGCGCACTCTATCGTATTAAGAATCATTACTGTTGCGAAGGAGCGACTGATAAATAAAGCATTCAACAATGGCGTTGCTCAGCAACCTAGAATCTCTCTTTTGTTGCCAACGGGCTACATTTAATAGTTTCGACATTTTTTTTTCTTCATCCCTGCTCATCATTTGCTCTTTTATCAGCAACAATTCGCTTTCAAAAAGACGATTTTATTCCCATTTTATCTCACTTTATTTTTTTTCTAAGATTAAAATAACTCTTTTGCGATTAGGCTTATGAATTCACGATTATTTTGAATCAATTTTAAGAAAAAAATTATTTCATTGATAAATAAATAATCGTAAAAGTATGCATCAATATTTATTACTTCCTCGAATTTATAATCAGTTTTTTTATGCGGCCGTTCTGAATAATTGTCTTTAGAATTCCTAATTAAGGATAGATTTTAACTTGGCTTTTAAAAAAGTCTCCGCTTTATCTACTTTAAAAGCTTTTCTTTTCTCTTTATGGGCACTTAATTTTTAGCATTTAATTTGTTTAAAAACCTAAAAAAGGAAGCATTCTACCATACATTAACTAAATTTAAATTCCCGTCATTTACACAAAACATTTTTAGAACTTTTTAAAAAATATAATACTAGCATATTGTTAATACCATTAAATACGCTATTATTACTTATTAAATATAACCATATTAACAATACTTATTAAATACAATCATGTACTACATTTCCTTCCAGAGAATGACGTTTATGTCATTTTTTTACATCAGATGGAATCTTTTTAGGGGAAAGTTCTAAAATTTTTAAGTTACATTTTGTGATATTTAAAAATATTTTACTGTATGAATTTTAAGCAAAAGGGATTTAAAAGTCCTGAACTGGTTAAACAGAACACATGGGATTTACAGCCAAAAAGTTTCTGAGCCTTCCAAATCTGTATTAAAATGTCCTTAACCTATAATTCTAAAAGCATTTAAAACACTCATAACTNGAAAGGATTCTCTGTGCACGGAGAAGAGCCAATGAGGAGAGGTTATCGCAGTTGCAACTGTCAATCAATTCATATAGAATTCTCAGGCGGTTTTCCAGTTTGAACAACAGAATGTTTTCTCTATGCATAACTAAGGCAGCTGGTTTCATTTTTCTGTCAGAAGTGAGGGCTGTTCTTGTCCTCCCGCCATCTATTAAATGATGTTGTAAGTAGATGAGGCACAAATGCGTGGGAAAATATTTTGTTAGTGAGATCTCGCAGGTGCGCTTGACAATTGCGCGCATCTGGTCACGTAAAGATGACTTTTTTTTTTTTTTAAATATTAAAATTTCGTTGTAAAATGTTTTTAATAAATATTTAAAATAAATATAGAGATATTGAAAATTATTTTACTTTTCTGTTACCAGAGGCTCCAGCTCTCCAGAAACCACTTATGATTCCATCCGATCTAAGACTTGGAGACAGAGCCGATATCATTTGCACCCTCAGGAGAGGAGATCTTCCAGTCACTTTCAAATGGTACTTCAATGGCAGGGAGATTAGAGGAGAGGAACTGGGAAAAGTCACCTCTTACGATGTCAGATCCTCGGTGTATCTAATAGACAAACTAAAAGCTGGAAATGTTGGCAACTACACATGCATGGTATCCAATGTAGCTGGCTCTGATACAGCATCTGGGCAACTTCTTGTTGAAGGTTGGCAAGACTTAATGTCTTTTTTTATTATAATTTCCCTTACAAAGATAAAAATTAAAAATAAGTTACTGCTTTTTCGTAGTTCATCAAGTATTAAACTTCTTTCCAAGTTGAAACGCAGATGATGTTCTATGCTTATTATACTATAGCTTATTACGAAAAGGAAATAGTATTTTTGCATATTATTCACTTACTGTAGCACTAAATTTCCTATATATAAATATAGTTTACGAGAAGCAGTATCAAAATGTCACCTATTTGGGTGGAGAATCAGTTACCTCAGAGTTCTACAATAAACGTAGTTAAGGCTTCTGCTTCAATATTGTCCAGAACAGACAGATAATGAAACCAGTTACCACACTTGGCGAAGTTTCTCTCGAATCTGGCTTTCTTTTGTCAAGAGAAATTAAAAAAAAAACCACAATTCATGTGTTTTACACCTGGATTGTGTTTCTTGTGTTTTTTGGGCCACACAACGGAGAAATAACTTAAATATTTTTTGAATTATTCAGCGCTTTAAAAATCGCCAATTTGGCGAGATTTTTCTATTCAGATGAAAATTATTAAAACAACTGAATAATTCTTAATTTTTTTCAAAGTTTTATAACCTAGATAATGCAGCGTTGAAATAACTTTCTAATTATTAAAAAATAGATCTCAAGCGCTTTTCATGTATTATTTCTAATTTTAATTTGATCTGAGGAATTTCGATGAACTTAGAAATTTTTGTCGAAAATAAAAGAATATAAATCGCCCTATAAAATGCTTTTAACAATAAAGTAATACATTACTCATTTTTAATTTAGTAAAACATTTTTTTAAGTTTGAAGAACACATAAAAAATGTCATTATTTGATTTTTTCCCTCTACTATGTTACAAACTACTATAAGCCAAATTGTTACTTAAATCATAACCTTTCAAACTTAGTTCCGCGAAAGAAATGTTTCTTTATCCTTTCTCTTGAAATAGGCCCGAAATGTCTGAGAAACTCTCTATAGCTTGCAGGTGCTAGATCGGGGTTTTTTTACCATTAGTTTTGGAAAGAAAAAAGAACTTTTTTCTTCTTACTTTACCAAGCATTTCAAATTCTTCACGTAATTTTTTAGTTGTAGATTTATGCTTTCAGCGCTTACTTCTTTTAAGAATTATAGGACTTTTATGGATTTATTTTAAAGATTTACAATCGATTACCTTTTTTCTTACTTCTTTTTTTCTACAACAATTTAGATGATTTATATCCAGAAATTTTATAATACTCAACTCTGGAATAGTCTTCTATCATTTGTCAAAATTAATTCCCATTTTGTAGTAGCGGAACACTTAACTTAAATAACTCGAAGCTGAAGTAATGTTGAAATTACCAATTTTATTTGCATCCTCTTTCATTCTGCATACATAAGTTTAGATTTAATTCATCGTTTTTTTAGTTTTAGTTTTAATAAAAGGAACATTTTGAAATATTATCTATTCTGTAAAATTTTATTATTATTATTATTACTACATAAAGATTAAATAAGAAATTAAAAGCTATTATCATTCAAATAAATATCTAGTACGAGCAGTGTTTTTAAATCGCAATGAATTCAAATTATTGTTGATCTGCAAGTGACGTCACAGGTGGGTAAATCGTGGTCTTTGCTTAAACTGTGGTTTAGCAGCCAATCAGGTTTGACATAGGTATGACGTCGCTTGTCAATATCCAATTATCCAATAAAATCAGATCCGATAACTGAGTTAGCGAGATAATAAACCAAGCTTTATTGCTGTAACGTTAGCTTCTCATGCACAATAATATGATTTCAGTGGCAATAAAGAAAACGAAGAAAACAAAAATAAAAATATGACCACCGCAGCCGACGTCTTCAGGGGGTACCGGCCTCAGAAGCCATAAAACAAAACCTTTGCCATTGACAGAGAGGACAAATTCCAAAATTAGCTCTCTCAGTACCCCGAAGGTTTTGTAGAAGTCCAAGAAAAAATGCATGAAATTCATAAAACCAAATCAGAAAAGAAATTCAAACAAAATCTTGAGAAAATGAAATCTCACATTAAACCGGTCAAACAGCGATTTCACAAGCAAACTAAATGCAAAGGAAAAACTTAAAACAAAAGAAAACAACGTCCTCTATTAAAATGCGCAAAATGAAAAAAATAATAGTAAAAGAAAAGATTACGTACTTTTTCTTCTCCAGTTGCAGATTATCCGGGGTTCAAAAAAAGAGTCTCTGTTTCGTTGTTTCATCAAATAGGCAACATTTTTGTCTTTTGAACTGTTCATAATTAAAGGGATGAACTATTTTTGAATAATTTAATAATCGAAAAATCTCCAAGCATATGGTTTTTAACATTGATTAGTGACGCCGCATTTTGTTAACTCGGTTTTAAATGAAGTCAAAATAAAATATATCCGATAACATCAGATGATGTGAAATTATGCCTTGTAGGTAGCCATATAGAAAGTGGATTAAAATTCATGTAAAAACTGAAAGTGGTGCTGTTTATACAATAAAATATTGTAACTAAAAAATAAGATATTAAAGAATTTAGGAACTGATACTTTAGGCGTTATTAAAAATGGAACTCTACACTGTAGAAAATACCTATACTCTGTTGCAAGTTAAGAAAAAACCCTTATCCCTATGGAAAAATCCTGTTGGCATCTAAATGCACGCTAAATGGATGCCAAGCTCCAAGCAGGAGCAAATATTAACATCGCCAACTCTTGAAACGACGTAGCACGGAATTCTTTTTGCTTATTAAAAATAGAAAATTCCTTACATTTTCCTTACATTGAAATTCCTTACATTGTTTGGAAAACATAATTATATAACTTTGTAGCTAAAGAAAAAATAAAACTTTTGATGCTTCACTATACCAGAGACTATTTTTTGTTCTTGGTGTAGTAGGACACACAGTGGAACAATATTTTGGTGTAAAGTAGTTGCACCATTGTGTTAATATATACGAAAAATTTTAACACCGTATACGAAAGCTCGATTTGGTGTTAACTTGAAATAAAGTACTCTTTCGCGCAATTTTTTGGGTTGTTCAACATCAAATTCGTAGAGATATTACACCACAATTTTCACAGTGCACAGGAAAGAACCATTTATTGTTAAGTAATATTTTGAGGATCGTTGAATCTCTGATCGAGTATTTTTCCATTTAGGTGATAAGAATTGAACCCAGATCATCCCATTTTAAATCGTAGGAGCTTTTTTTTTTTACTTTTTAATGTCTAAGGTTTAAGCCAATAATCCCATAATCAATTCCTTAGAGAAGATTATTTAACACTGTTTAACGAAATTCAGCTATATTTATGAAAATCGGTCATTAAAAATTTCGACAAAAGAGTGTGTAAGTTCCAAAAAAACTAATAATCACATATATCTGATATGCCATAGTTTAACTAATCGTTACTATACACTTTATGAATTATCCTATGAAATCCACCCCTCTGCCATCACACGAAAAATAAATTCAGCATTAAAGATAAAAAAATTTTATAGATCAACATTTTTGAATAGTCGTATTTTTTTTCTATATCCGTTAAAGTGTAGTGAATGTAAGTAATGGTTTATTCTCATTTTTTCTTTTTTTTATATGCGTTTATTCTTTAGTGTATGTAGATCTTATATGATTGAGTTTAAAAGTAATTTATTATTGCGCAAAAGTATCGATCAATTTAATTTTTCATTTATTTCTATCTATCTTTATTTTGAGAGATCTATATATTTCCGAAATCCAGAAAATTCAAGTACTGTATGTACGCATGCGCGAAATCACATCTTTTTCTTTCGCCAACACATCAAAGACAAACTTTCAAAGCTGGGGATCACAATATTTTTTAAGCTTCGTTTCCACTTCCTAAAATTACTCAGATACGTCCTGATATTTTAGTAAAAATTTGTTAGTCTTTTCATTTTAAGCCATTACGAAGTCTGCAGAAGCTTTCAGTTATCAAAATCAGTTTGTCACTATATTTCTCAAGTACTTTGCTTTTTGTTTACATATTTAACCCTTTACTTACTGCGCTTAGTATGATGAAGCCCGGCATTCTAGTTATACCAGCCGTAAGCAAAAGGATAAGAGACAGAATGTCTGAAAGATTAATATTTATGCCTCTACTTCATAGAAACTACTGCATACATAATAGAAAACCTAACGTATTACATGCAAGGAACTAACGTATTAAGAGTCAAGGAACTTCCAACATTTTGAACGAGATGCTTTGCTATGAAATGCAACGAAATGTTACCCAAAATGATACAATATCTTTATTGTTAGAGATATTAGAATAGAATTGTTATATTGTTAAAAATGGAAATTCGGGGAACTTAATTTTCCTACTTAAATTAGTAACTATCAATTTAGTAACATCGTGGAATGCTTTTTAGTTACTGAGTTTTTTCATCAAACAATACTCTCACTTTCTTTTTTAATCAATATTTTTACTAGGGTGATGTAACGAATTATCTGTATTCAATTCACAGCTCTTTAAAAAGAAGAGTTTAATTACCCTAATTTAATTATAATTATCTTGTACTTATGGATCATAACGTTGAATAAGCATCGCCTATTCCAATTCATTTAAGTAAAGGGATGTAATACCATAGTTTACTTATCACAGTTTCCATAGTAGACTTATTTCTCTATTTATAAGTATTTTAGGAGGCTCCAACTCTACTTGCTTTGCTCACCGACCTCCTGATTGCATCTCGTTCATTAGTTATTTTTCTCCTTATTTTTCATATCAATCCAAGCACGGGCTTATAGTATAAATATCTCGTAAACGAAACATTTTTTTTTTTAAAATGGATAAATAGTTATCATTTAAACCAAAAAAATTGTGTAAACAGTACTAAAAATGGCTAAAACTTTCGAGCAAATTAGAATTTATAAAATAAAAAAACTCGATCAAAAGTCATAAATAAGAATGACCATTTCAGTTCATTAAATTTCGACTTGCCTGGTGAATGGTCTACATAGTGCGTCTTAC